TGCAACACTCGAGTTGGACGGGTTTTCCAACCCCAACAAGGGTGAGCACAGGGGCAGGGCAGATGGGAAAGTGTGCCTGTGTAGAACTGGAGCTGCTCTGGCTTCTTCAGCTCCTCCCATGCGCACCCTGCTCTTCTGTGCACTGGGGTCCTGACTCTCAGAGAGGGCAGGAACAAGTGCCAGGCCCGGAGGAGCAGGCAAAGGGGCCTCTCTGGAGCCATTCCACAGGTTCCTTAGCCCTCCGCCTCCGCCTCTCCCTCTCAGCCTCTCCCCTGTCACTCTTTCCCCATGCATGCAGGGTGTCTGTACCTTGCTTTCCACCCAGGAGATAACAGGTCTGGGCTGGGAGCCAGAGCAAGGTGCCAAGGCTGTGAGTGAGGCCTCCCAAGCTGATGCAAGAAAGCCCTCCCTGCCTCTCCTGCTTCACTAGGACTCACAGGGAGTTCGAGCAGCGAAGAGAACACAAGTCTCGGTTTCTCTACATCCTGGGCCTGCTGTATTCAGCTCCTTTCTGCTCCTCTGCCCCCAACAGGCTGGACACAGGCCCTAGGAGACACCCCCGGCCTGGGAGCCTGAATGAGAGATGCCTCAGTGCTGGGTTCTCCCAAGGGGCCTGGGGCCCTTCTTGGTGTGGCAGAGTGGGCCCCACCTGTGCCTTGAAGTCTAATCCTAGGCTCCAAGAATCCTGCAGATTCCCAGGGTGACAGCCGCACCCCAGGAGAGACCTAGAGGGTCACAAGTCATTACAAGCCCGAGTTCCCACAAGTTAAGGAGCTCCTGTGACCACAGAGGCAGGACCGTAAAGGGGAAAGTGAGCTGGCCTGAAGAGGCAGAAAGTGCTGACTGCTCGCGGGGAGGGAGGAGGGCTGCTGTGGGCATTGGCTCCAGTGCCGAGAACCCGGCTGGCTGGTGCAGGGTGGGAGTTTCCTGGAGCTCTTTGCAAAGGGCCTGAGAAACCCCTTGGTGATTGAGGGTGCGAGGCTGGGATGTGGGGCCTCAGCCAGCCACCCCCAGAGTTCTCCTGTGAGCAGGCCCGTGGTGGACCACACTAATGAGCCCACAACACAGGCCTTTGATGAAGCAGCTCCCTGCACAGCGACTTTATTGAAACATGCAGAGGCCAGCGGCTCGTTCTCACTGCTCCCTGGTTCCCTGGGCAACAGCCCACGGGTACCAAGTGCCCCAGCTCACTGAGGGACTGCCAGGGAGGGAGGGGGTTGGGAATGCCAGGAGCCAGGGGCTCAGGGGTTTGGGATTTTTGATAGGGGTTCAGACGCTTCCTTCTAGATGACCGAGGGCCACACTTTGACACCTGCCAGGGCACCTGAGAACTGGTGATGCTGATCACCCCACCCCTCAGGGAAGCGAGCCACCCAAGGGCTTGGCAGGACTCTGAGGGCAAGGTCAGAGTTGAAGATGTGACATAAAACTGGATGGACTTTCTTCTTGAGTTCAGGGAGACCCCACTCCCTACTTCCCCCCAAAATGCATGTGACCCCTCAATACACACACAGGGCCTATGAGGACACGATGTCAGCTCCTGGAATGACAACCTGAGAACCCCTGGGTTGGGGTCCCCTGCCCTGTTCCCACCTCCTACTTCCCCATCAGCTGTGCCAGGGGAGCAGCCAGCACCCTCCTGTTCTTGGCAGAGACTGTGTCCACCTGGGGGATTTCCACTTGTGCTGGGCTAATTTCAAATGTTACACTTCAGAGCTTTTGCTACAGTAACTACCAACACCAGGTGGACAGAAATCTAATGCTACCAAGTGGGACTTTTAAAATGTATTTATAACTTTATGGTCCAAAGTAATTTTGTTATGAAACAATGTAATAACATCAGTGGAAAAAGGCAAGATAATTTATGGAACACAATATCCCTGAAGCACTAGCTTCAGCCGAGTCTGGGGAGCGCGGTTGGTGCCCTTTGTTTGCTGTTTGTTTTAATTAAGGGTTAGGGTTTTGGTGGAAGGGAGGAGGAAGCTAGCTTGGAGAAAGAATTCTGCAAGCAGACAAAATATACTGACAAACATGTTCATATCAAGAGTATATATGCTTTGCAACTCCAGACACACTCAACAACCTCATCTTTGACAAAGGAGCCAAACACCTTCACTGGAAGAAAGATATCCTTTCTAATAAGTGGTGCTGGAAAAACTGGCTTTCTACATGCCAAAGACTGAAACTAGACCTGTATCTTTCACCATGTACTAACCTAAATCAAAATGGATCAAAGATCTAAACTTTTTTTTTTTTTTTTGGTGCCGGGGATCGAACTCGAGTCCTTGTGCATGCGCAGCAAAGCAGGCGGCGAAACCACTGAGCTAAATCCCTGGCCATTTTTTTTTTTTTTTTTGTGGTACTGGGGATTGAACTCAGGACCTTGCACTTGTGAAGCAGGCACAGTGCCACTGAGGTCAATTTCTGGCCCCAAATATCTAAGTATTAAAACAGAAACACTAAATCTGCTGGAAGACAAAATAGGTAGAAGCTTGAGGACACAGGAGTAGGCAAAGACTTCATGAATAAAACCCAGACCGCCCGGAAAATTCTGCAATCAACAACTGGGACCTCATCTTAGTAAGAAGCTTTTGCACAGCAAGAGAAACCACCAACAGAGTGAAGAGACAAGCTATAGAGTGGGAAAAATTTCTTTACCAGCTATTCAGATAAAGGACTATCATCTAGAATATATAAAGAACTCAAAAAATCAGACCTCCCAAATTTAAAGACCCAATGCAAAATGGGAATCTAAAATAAAAAGATACTTCTCAGGTGAAAAATTAGAAATGGCAACAGAGTGTGCTGGCACACGCCTGTAATCTCAACACTTGGGAGGCAGAGGTAGGAGGATCACCCTAGTTTGAGGCTAGCCTGGGCTACATAATGAGTTCAGGGCCACCCTAAAGGGAGACCTTGTCTCAAAAAAACTAAAAAAAAAAAGAATAAGAAACGGCAAAAAATATATGAAAAAGTGTCCAACATCACTGGTCATTCGTGAAATGCAAATTAAAACAATGCTAAGATTCCACCTCCAGAAAGAATGGCTATCAAGAAATCAACCAATAACAAATTGTGTGTGTGTCGGGGGGAAGGGCTGTGGGGAGGAAGGAACCCTGCTCCACTGCTGGGTGGGAGCGCAGACTGGTGCAGCCACTGCGGAAATCAGTGTGGAGAAACCTCAAAACCCTAAAACTAGAGGCTCCATCTGGCCCAGCTATACCTCTTCTTGTATCTTCCTGAAAGAATTAAAAGCATCATACCACAGCGATACATGCACAGCCATGTTCATAGCACAGTCTGTAATAGCTAAATCTTGGAAACAGCCCACATGCCCATCAACTGACGAGTGGATAAAGAAGATGTGGGGGTTTTTTGTTTGTTTTTTGGACCAGGGATTGAACTCAGGACCTTGTGCTTGTGAAGCAGGCAGTGGAACCACTGAGCTAAATCCCCGGCCCGATGTGGTTTTTTTAAAAAATAAAATGGAATACTACTTTGCCATAAAGAAGGATGAGCTTCAGACATTTATAGTTAAATAGATGCACCTTGAGACCACACTCTTAAGTTTTTTTGGTTTTTTTTTTTTGGTACCAGGGACCGAATTAGGGTCCTCATGCTTGCGAGGCAGGCGGCATAACCACTGAGCCAAATCCCCGGCCCCATACTCTTAAGTGAAATAAATCAGACACACATGTGTGAATACTGCATTGTTTCTCTGGTGTGAGAAGCTGAAAGTGGAAATAAGGACTGAGATGTATAGTGGATGCTGGGAAATGGGAAGGAAGTGTTCAAATGGGAAGGGGAACAAGGGAGGGGGGCGGGAGAAAGGAAGGGACAAGAAAAAAGTGAGAAGAGAAGGAAAAAATGGAAACAAAGCTTTTGTACAAAGGAGGAGAGGGGGCTTGAGCGGGGAAGGGATAAAATAAAATTTAATAATAAAAGAAAGAGTATATATGCTTTGCAGACCCCTAGACTGGGTTAAACCCACAGAATCATCATGACCCCCACACACTATAATTCCCCTATATTCTCTTCAACACTGCACAAAGCCGGGCCATCTGTTGGATTAGGGTTAGATTTTCTTTTCTTCCTTTGTTTCTCCCTCCCTCCCCATCTGTTCCTTCCTGCTTTCTTTCCTTTCTTTCTTCCTCTTTCCCTCCTTATTCCTTGTTTCCTCTCCTTCCTTCCTTCCTCCCCCGCCCCCTCTCTTGGTATTCCCTCCCTCCCTCTGCCTGCCTCCTTTTGCTGGGAATTGAATCCAGAGCCTTGTGTGTGCTAGGCAAGTGCTCTCCTATAAAGCTACACCCTTGGCCCTGAATTCCCTCTCTAGATACTCCTGAGAAAAAGTGTTCTTCCCCCCACCCCAAAAGCCAAAAAGGAGGTGAATAGGGCAGAGCACTCCTTAAGAGACCTGGTCAAGGTGGGTACTGCAAGGAGGCCAACAGTTCTTAGCTCCAGCAAGGTGTTTGGCAGTGGCTCTGAAGCAGAGGTGCCTGGGACCAGCCAGCAGGCTTCTGCTCAGACAAGGTGGGTTCCTATCAGGAGGAAGAGCAGAGCTGTCAGGCTGGGGTTGGGGGGCACCTCTGGTCACCGCAGCCTACTCATCTCGGCCCCAGGAAGATGTCACTTTCTATGCATTCTGATAAGATTCCATACTGCGGCTACAGAGTGGCTTCCACAGCTCCTGTCTTGCTTTGCGCTTGGCTTCCTGTACCTTAATTTAGTCAGGATGTGGAAAGCTCTATTTCCCCACACCTGGATTTCCACAGGAACCAGAACTACCACTGGCCCTTGGTGAGGGGAAGGAGCCAGGAAGTCCCCTGGAACCGCTGGCACAGGCAGCAGTATCCACACTCCATGACCACATGCAGGCCTCAGGCACTGAATCCAGCCCCTCAGGAAGGGGTAGCACCATGAGGTGCCCAGGGAAGGGCAGGCGGGTAGGCAGGGGAGAGCCTTCGGAAAGAAGGTAGGGAGAAGAAAAGGGGCCTTCTCACTTGTAACCAGGGTCCGTGAGCCGCGTAAGGATGCTCCTCAGTGGCAAAAGCACCTTCCACTCCCGTGGAGACAAACGTGATGGCCATGTCACCTGTGATACTTTTATATGTAAAGTGCCGTCCATGCAGGAGCCTGCCCCTGGGGGTAGGAACACGGAGACAGTGAGGAACAGGGTCTGCAAACAGCCCCAAGCGCAGCAGCCCTGGCCAAGGCTCTGGGATTATAGAGCTGTGATCCTTGGGGTCGGGGGTCTTGCAAACGCCTTCCCGATGGCCCACATGCCCATTAACGAGGCTGTAGCCAAATAAGTTCATTGTAGCACCTTCAAAAAGAAGCGAGCAGCTGGGTGTAGTGGCACACATCTGTAATCCCAGCACTCTGGGAGGCTGAGGCAGAAGGATCACTGTGAGTTCAAGACCAGCCCGGGCTACACAGTGAGTTCAAGGCCACTCTGAACTACAGTGAGACTGTCTCAAAAAAAAAAAATCAAAAAACCAAACCAAACTAAACCTGACCAAAAAAAAATTTTTTTTTTTGGGTACAGGGATTGAACTCAGGTCCTTACACTTTTGAGACAGGCAGTGGAACCACTGAGCTAAATCCCTGGCCCCAAAGTGAAATGTTTTAATGGTGCAGTTAAAATAAAGATTCAAATATATCTTTAATATATTAATTTCTTTAAACTCAGGCAAGGTGCTGTTTAAAAAAAAAAAAATCTCTATTAGCTTTGTCCACAGATGGAAGCTATTGAAAGTTACCCAAGGTAATTTTGATATTGAATGCAGCTTTAAACAATGAAAAATTGTTTTAAGTTTTCTTCTCAAAGTAAATTATACAATTACAGCCCCAAACTTGTAAACTAAATATTCTGACACAAATGCACAAAATTAAGTTGGCAATATTAAGGGAAGGTCACGTGTACACCAGAGGACAAAAATTTAAAAAAAGGCTGGGCCTCGTAAGCACAAGGTTCCAAGTTTGATTCCCGGTACCAAAAAAAAAATAAAAATAAAATTAAAATTAAAAAAGGCTGGGGAGGGCCAGAGATTTAGCTCAGTGGTTCTGCTGCCTGCTGTGCAAGCGCAAGGACCCGAGTTCGATCCCCGGTACCAAAAAAAACAAAAAACAAAAAAAGGCTGGGGATGTAACTTAATTTGAAGACCCTGTGTGAAATTCCCAGTGCTGGGGGGAAAAAAAAGCAAGCAGCAGCCTCTGTCACCAGTTCTCTGATGCCAAGCTTCCAAAGCACTCAAAGCTGGCAGACACAGCCCTGGAGCAGAGTTCAGCAAGCCCCATGATGGCGGAGACCGCCTCGAACCTGAGGCCAGAGAGGAAGGTCAGCAATGTGCCCGGGCCTGGCCTGCCAGAGTGAACAGGAAGTCGCCTCTGCTCTGGGGGATGGGGGTGGAGCAGAACCGCAGGACAGCAGCACACGGAGGACGCCAGGGCAGGGTCCTGCCCCACTCCTGGGCACCCTGTAACAACTGAACAGCTGGCCTGAAGGCAGAAGAGCTGGAACCCAATGAGCTCGCTCTTAACCCTGTCTCCGTCTGGAAACACACCTGGGGAAGGGCAGGCAGGCGCGGCCCACAAGGCAGGGACGCCAGGCAGCAAAGGAAGCAGACAAAGCCCACTTCTCCAGCCACCAGATTAGCCCTCGCCGGTCTGCAGCCTGGAGCCTGCACCTGAGGGGCAGCTGGGGAGGGATGGATGGGTGCTGGAGATGGGCTCTGCCAGGTCCTGTTCACTCTGACCACTGCTGTCTTTGCCTGCTGTGCCCTGATGACCGGCCAAGTCTGGTTACTTTTCAGACTCTCTCCCCTGACTCCAGGGACACAGGGCAACCACTTCTTCCTGTCACTGTCCCCAGTTTAGAGTAATTTCCTCCCTCTTTTTTTTTTTTTTTTGATACTGGGGATCAAACTCAGGACCTTGCGCTTGCGAGGCAGGCAGGCGGCGGGTAAAACCACTGAGCTATATCCCCAGGCCTCCTCCCTTTTTTTCCTCTCCTTTCTTTCTTCTCTCCCTTCCTTTTTTTCTTTTTGAGACAGGATCTCGCTGTGTAGTCCACGCTGGCTTCGAAGTCACAGTGATACTCCTGCCTCAGCCTCCCAAGTACTGGGATTACAGATGTGTGCCACCATGCCCAGCACTTCTTTGGCTTTTTGAGACACGGTCTTACTATGTGGTCCAGGCCAGCCCTGAACTTGGTATGTAGCCCAGACTGGTTTTGAACTCATGATTTTCCTGCCTCAGCCTCCTGAGTGCTGGGATTACAGGTGTGCACCACCATGCCCAGCTTTAGAGGGATTCTTACTGCCTCCTCTGCTACCAGCATAAGGGTGGAAGCCCAGAAAGTCCCACAGTGCTGCTGCAAGAGCCAGCCCAGAGCAACCTCCCTAAGCAGACAGCTGACTTCCGGCCTCAGGGCTGCACTGCTGTCTGGATAGCAGTAGAAGGGACACAGTTGGCCTTCCTAGAGCCCCTCAAGGAGTCAGCTGCTAGGTGCGAAGACTCAAGTGCTTTGCAGGAGCCTGGGCTTAGGGGATGGCAGGGGTCATCTGAGATGCCTTCGGTTAATGAACCTCCCCAGGGTGAGCATGGCTGACAGACAATTCCTGAACAAAGAAGTGTTCTTTAGCACCTATTTCCTGTGCTAAAGACTAAAGAGCAACAGGGCTCTTTGGCCACAGGCCTTTGTACACTGGAGGCTGCCACTGCTCTGAGCTAAGACATGCAGAAGATAGCCTCCCTTGGGGCCAGCCCCATTGCTCAGGATTTCGCAGGGCCAGGCTGACCAGAGGCTGAGGGGGAGGAATATCATACAGCCGGTGACAGAGGGGTTCCTGGCTGGCTCCCACACAGGTCAAGTGTTCTCCCTCCCAGCCCCAGGCTCTGCTTAGGTATGGGGGCTGACCACAGGCGCCTCCCTCCCTGAGCAACTGGCAAGCATAGGCTGTGAGTTGTCACTGATGCCAAGCTGCATAGGGGGCAGGGTCGGCTCACCTTAGGCAGAGAGGAATGAGGGCTCCAGACTCTTGGTTGAATTTCAAATGCACGCTCTCGAGTTGCCGTGTGCGGATCAGCTCATGGGGAACTATGGCTGTGGAGCTATCGCTTTCTAGGCTGTCTTTGCGGCTCCTGCAAAGCAAGCACAGGGACGGGTTCAGCGCACGTGAAGACTGCTGGGAGGAGCAGGCTGGGGGTTCTGGGTTGGGCTCCTGACCACTGACAATCACGGTGCCCGACCACAACAGCAGCAGCAGCCTCCCCTATGCACCTGTCAGTGCCAGCCGTGTACCGAGCACATCTCATGGCTGGCTGCTCCTCAGGATGCTCCCTCCACGTGGGTACTATTTCCATTTTCCTCTTATAGACAAGGAACTGCGACAGGGAGGCCAAGTTACCCAGCCAGGCTCCAAGTCAGTGAGGGAAGGCGTGGCACTCGGTCTCAGCAGGGCTGGGGTGAGAGCCTCTGTCTCTGAGAATAGCACACAGCACTGAGGTCCATGCCATTGGGCTTTCGTCCCTCGTGAGACAAGCAGGATCTCCTGGGAGCCCTTGCTCTCCCCTTCCCAAGGCCCAGGACCCTAGCTCTCCAAGGCTGGCACTGGACAGCACCTTGAGCCCCAGCTAACCTGAAAGGGCTCCGCGCAGGCCCACTCCTGCTCACGGCCAACGCCGCAGTGACACGGGCACCCTCCCTCCAACTAGTCCTCATGCAGCGGGAGAAGGTGGCCCTTGGGTGTCAGACCAGTGGGCCTGCTGGGAGCCAGCTGGGCACTGATTCCTCACAGTGCCTGTGGCTGCAGTGAGCCCTGCTTCCCACCTACAGCTGGGCCGCAGGGCCCTTTGATCTAAGATTTGCTCTTTCAAATTCAGCTGCCCAACTGACAACCTCTCAAATCCGCCTCTGCAGGAAATGAGGGTCACCCACTGATCCCACTCAAAAGGCCGGATTCTAGTCTGGGCTGTGAAGCTCGGGACAGTTCCCCAAGTGTCTATCAAAACACTGGGTGAGAAGTTCTAGTTATTCATCATTCAAGCGGCAGGCAGGAGCCACCCAGGATGTCTGGGCTGCACAGCCACAGTGGGGCAGGGCCAAGGTCCTCACACCCTGGGGGAGCACTGGGGCTGCAGCCAATGGGGGCGCGCATAGGCAGAGCCCCTCCCCAGGTCAGCACTGGACGGCAAGGCCCCAGGCTGAAGGGGCCTGACAGTCGCACTCTGCTGAACTTCCTCTCCCTTGTGAGGATCCACCGGAGTTGACTGCTCTTTCACAAAAGCAGTCCCCTCCTCTGGCTTCCCAAAGCTGACTCGGGAAATGTGTTTACTCCTGGCTTTTCCTGGGCAAGAGTTTTCCTAAGACCTGTGAAGAAGACAAACACTATAGGAAGAAGGTCAGTTTTTGAAAACTGGAGGAAACACAAAGGTTATTTAATCTGCCTCTTCCTTTTCATAAAAGGGCGCAAGGAATCCAAGGCCATACAGCTGGTCTGCGGCTGGCTAGCATGGGACCTTGGACTTGTGACCAGTTCTCTCCTCCACCAGTGCTGCTGTGCCTCAGAGCCACACTGAACCCTGCAGCCAGGCACTGCTGAAGGGCTCAGAGGGGACACAGGGCCCTTGGGCCACACAAAAGCAGGAAACAGGAAGTAGCAGCGGCCACATTTGCTTCCTCTGTGCCACCCTGCTAGACTCACAGGTTCACTCACTGCACCCTCACAGCCAGCCTGATGTAGGCGCTGCTGTTAGCGCTCTCAGATGCGGTGAGGTGACAAGACTAAGGTCAGAGAAGCAGGTTTTGTATTTCTTAACTTTGACTTTTTGAGGAGCTGCGAATGTAGCTCCTCACACATGCCAGGCACACGGTGCCACCAAGCTACACCCTGAGGCTCTCACCTTGAGTTGAAGTGGAAAAGCTCTCAGTCACTCCCCTGTGCCATTCCCCAACAACTTCTTATACCAGACGCACCACCATGCTCCCAAAGGGCTGCCAGGGTCCCAGCCTCTCAGACACAGGCAAAAATGCTGACGAATAGCAATGGGAGGTGGGGCGGGGACTGGCAGAGAAGAATCAACAGCACACAGCCTAGAGAGGTCTCAGGCTGGAGGGAAAAATAAATTGTTGAAAGTCAGCTAAAGTCACCTTGGTAACTGCCACAACACACTCACCCAGAACAAGGACATCAAACCCAACTGCAAACAGCTTTAAAGAAATGGAAAAGAACTTAATCATCGGAAGAATTAATGTGACAAGTGCCCACATTTACACCTCCCACCAACCTTCAATCATTAAAAAAAAAAAGTACTTTAATTTTTTAAGAGAAGAAACATTGCAAAATGCTAGATCTGCAGTACTAAAGCTTGGGTATTTCCGGCATGCTGCTTCAATGGAAACGCAGCCATGTGCGCACACAGGCACACACATACACAGGAGCCCAGCTTTTTGCTGATTTGTTTATTTCTGGACATCGATGCAGAAGCATGAATTATTTGTGTGGGTTGGGTGAGGTATTAAATCTGCAGCCGACACAGGTTTGCAATGTTTTGCATGGTTGTCAGCTTAATCTTAGTCATAAAAAAATAAGTAGTGTGCTCAGCAGCATGGCCTAATTTTTCAGGTGGGCTGTTTTCTCCGAGTTCCCAAAAGAGAAGGCAGAGGTTGGGGCTGGCAGGGAGGGGCTCCTGGGAAGGCAGGACCCAATCTACTGGGGACTGCTGGGGGCTCCAGGAGGCGGAGCGCTGAACAGCACAGGTTCAGGGTTTGAGTTCTATGTGACCTTGGGTGAAGGATTTAACCTGAAAGCCTTGGTATCTTCACAATGTAAGTAATGGTAAGGTCGCTATACCACAGCAGTAAGTGCTCAAAATATAGCTGGCGATACTAAAGTCTCTCTGTTCTGCCTATAAGAAAGTCAATGGCTTAAAAGAAAACTTTCTTGTTTCCTGGGCCCAGAATCCAACAGTCTCTGACCAGGTCTGTTCTACTGAGCAAAGGTCTGAGCTCGGGAGATGGGACTTCAGAAATGGGGCTTGAAAGGGCTCCTGATTCCTGGTGCAGACACTGAGGGTCCTGGTCAAGCAATAATGAGCTCAGATCAGGCTAACAAAACCTGAGCTCTCTGCTCTGTTGCAGGAGGCACTAGCCAGGCCAGCTTCTTCTACAGAACACAATCTGCCTTTCTGCAACTCTCAAAGCACTGGCCTTCCAATCACTAAGTACTGTGGTTGAATCTATCTTCCTAGGACAACATTTTGAATCCCGAAGGCCTATCAACAGCTTCTTTTTCTAGGACTGGTGGCCCCAGCTTTCAGCTGTGTTCTTGGCCAGGTCTTGAAATCCCTCAATTCAGGCCTCCACTCTTTGGATTTACTGTAGCTTGTCAAACTGAGTGTCATGTCCAGAAATAAAGTATCATGTGTGGAAATAAGTACAGTACAAGGATTAACCAGGGCAGACCTCAGGGCTGCACAGTCTCTCTCATTTGAAATCCTTTGTTTCTATTAAAACCGTCATTGAGGGATGGGGATTTAGCTCAGTGGTTTCATTGCCTGCTACGCAAGCGCAAGGACCTGAGTTTGATCCCCAGAACCAAAAAAGCAAAAACAAAAACAAAAAAACACCCATCATCGGATTGTCTATTCTTTTTTTTTGGTACCGGAGATCGAACTCGGGTCCTTGAGCTTGCGCAGCAGGCGGCGAAACCGCTGAGCTAAATCCCCGGCCCAGATTGTCTATTCTTTGTAACCTTGTCAAACTACCAACTCATATTATGCGCAGTCAACAAAATCTCCCATGGGCTGCTTTACACCTCTCCTTCCTTGTCTAGTACAGAATTGTGCTAGCTGGCAGGGTTTCGGGAAGTTGGTAATTGTGAACTTGACCCGGGCCTCTATCACACTGGCACTTGTTCCTGACGATGCATCACTGATAAAACTGACGAACTGGGCAGCAGTGTTCGCATCCCAGGCTGAATGAACGGCAGGCAGGCTAGCGCCAGGCAGACAGCCCACAGTGCCCTTCGGGCGTGGCCAGTGCAGTCACACATCACCCCACCCTCGCCCTCCTGGACGCCCTCTGCACATTTCCGTCTTGCCTATAATGCTGTCACAACATTCTCAAAATGTCGTGCTAACCCTTTCCAACATGAGGTCCCTGGTACTCTTCTGTCTCCAAGGCTGGGGACACAGCTCAGGCCTGACTTTCAGACTCTCAGGGCTGTTTCCCTGAGGGGTTCAGAGCCTTTCACCGATAAGCTAGTCTAGACTTCTCCTCACAGCACCATCTAGCTCACCAGTCTGGAGACTGCCAGATGCTGGTCCCAGCCTGCCAGTACCCTCTCTCCATCCCCTCAGATTGCTGGTGCCAGGCTGGGGCACTGCGCAGAGCGGGGCACTCACGTAGCACCCCAGCCCCTGTCTCAAAAACAAAACAAAACAAGGGCCGGGGTTGTAGCTCAGTGGCACTGTGCCTGCCTGGCAAGTACAAGGTCCTGAGTTCGATCCCTGGCACCACAAACAAACAAAAACAAAACAAAACAAAAAAACCTCAGTTCTTGAGTTGCAGCTTTTTGTTTTTTGGGGACAAGGTCTTGCTAGATAGCCAGGCTGGCCTTGAGCTCACTATATAGCTCTGGCTAGCCTTGAACTCACAGCCATTCTCCTGCCTCAGCCTCCAGAGTGCTGAGATTACAGGCGTGTGCCACCATGCCCAGCTGAGCTGCAGCTTCACCTGTGCTGGTATAACATATTTCTCCTTCTAGCTATTGTTAAATTATCCCCAAACCTGAGCTGTGTGGAGAGCTCTACATTCTGCCCCGGTCCCTGGAGGTACTGTGGCCCCTTGCAGTTTCAGGGAACCATTTACTAAAATAGAACCAAGAGAGAACTTTTACTGAGCTTAGACGATGATGCTGGGTCCCATGCTAAACCCTTCGTAAACTGTGCTTCATTTTCATAACATCCCTATAAATAAGGGTTGTTTTCCTCATTTTACAGATGAAGAAACTGAAACTCAGACTTAAATAACTAGCCTAGGTCATGCAATGAGCAAATAAAAGCCGAGACAAATCCCCAGATCTTTCTGATGCCAGCTGAACTGTCAGTGTATTTCTCCTGAAGACATTTTTATTCCTCTG